CAGTCAGCTCTTTAAAGATCATCAATCATCTCTTTAAAGATCATCAGCTGTTTAAAGATCATCGGTCAGCTCTTTAAAGATCATCAGCTGTTTAAAAATCATCAGTCAGCTCTTTAAAGATCATTAGCTGTTTAAAGATATCAGTCAGCTCTTAAAGATCATCAGTCAGCTGTTTAAAGATATCAGTCAGCTCCTAAATATCATTAACTGTTTAAAGATCATCAATCAGCTTTTTAAAGATCATCAGTCAGCTCTTTAAAGTCAGTCAGCTGTTTTCCCATTTAGTGTAGGGATCTCAGTCATAGAACGAATTTATTTACTTCCATTTGTCCAATTGACGTCAAATTTGTATAGGTACTATGGAAATGCAATGACATTACAATAATATGGCAACCTTGAACTACCCAACTTTTCTACCGCTTACGGCAGAGCTATCTTGTTTCGGCTCATTAAATTGGCGTCGACGAGTTGTTAGCTCACAAATGGTAATTTTATTGACTTTTTGGAATACTCTGCTTGTATTGGGGTTAAATTTTCTTTACCTATGATTGACAAATGCTGAATAAAACCCTTTATTGTAAGATTGCATAACTATGCAAGACAAATATTATCGTTTTTATTAATATACTTAATATTGATAGTTAGTACCTATTTGTAAACAATTTACCTAAGCGTAAAGAATATTTATAAGCAATTTTTCAATGTAACAATTGGTGTATATCTGTTGCGAGCATTTAGATAAGTTACTATACACTACATTACTCTAAAATAGTGTCTGCGTATATTTTAGTCCAGTACGAACGCCTCTAAGTGGCGTTAGAGCGCGTTTTCATTTTGACGTAACGTTTTATTTGTTAAACGACTCGCGTTTAGCCTGTTTCCATATCACGACTATCTGTCGTAACTGTGTCGTGGACGTTTATTTTATCGTTGAACGACTGTCGTGTCTAGCTGTTCCCACTAGATCGTGACGACAATTTATCGGTTCACGGTAGCCGCCTTGTCATTTGCACGACAGAATCGTTACATTTTTATGTGTTGTCACATTTTTATCGTGACGTTTTATTTATCGTCGAACGACTGTCGTTCTAGCTCTTCCCATTTGTCACGACTGTCTGTCGCCGTAACGTCAAAAAAGTCGTGAACGACAGTTAATCATGCTGTTCTATGTGTGAACAAATTCCTTTAAATATACAAGGTGTCCAAAAAGAGCATCGGGTATTTGTTTGTTCAATAAAACAAAAAGTACTATTAATTAAGTTTTGTTTTAATTGTTGATGATTAGAATACAAAATGGAAAATTATTTCGAGAAGATAATGTTATCCAAATGGTGACCGTTACGCTGCTGACACTCTTCTAATCTGGAACGAAGATTGGCGATGACACGCTGACACATAGCCCTTGATATTGCCGCCATTTCTGCCCTGATGTTTTGTTTCAATTGCGTTAGGTTCGTCGGATTATTCTCATAAACCTTACTTTTAAGGTATCCCCATACGAAATAGTCAAGCGGGCTCAGGTCGGGGCTTCTGGGAGGCAAGTTGATGTTACCTCTACGCGAAATCACCTTATTAGGGAATAATTCGTTAACAGCTTCAATTGATTGATTTGACGTATGGCAAGTGGCCCCGTCTTGTTGGAACCACGTCCTTGAGTTGAAGCCTTGAAACTTCTGCAACTCTGGGCCTAAAAAGTTTTGCAGCATATCGCAATAACGGTCACTACTCACATTGAGCGGCCGGCCTCGTCGATCTTCATGAAAATAAGGACCGATTAAGCCTTTAGCACACATAGCGGCCCACACAACGGCTTTTGGGCTGTGCAGGGGTCGTTCATGCTTTCTTCTCGGATTCTCCTCTGCCCAGTATCGACAATTCTGTTCGTTGACATGACCATTCAGATGAAAGTTGGCTTCGTCACTCAACAGTATGTTTTTAAAGTTGTTGAATCGCCGCAAAATTCAATCGATTTTCGTAGTCCGTATCCTTCAATTCTTGGACCAATTGAATTTTATACGCTTTTAAACGCAATTTTTTTTTAAATCAAATGCAAAGACGATTTTTTTATGTTTAATCCTTGGCTTCGCTTACGGGTAAGGCTCCATTGCGACTGACACTTCACAAAATGGCGGACGCCACGACCCCTACCCCGCGTCCCTCCGTCCGTCCCTCTTTTTGGACGCCTTGTACAAGTCACGACACTTTAAACTGCACGACTATCTGTCGTCACGACATAATGAGAACGCGCCCGTAGTTGGATTCTGTCTCGCGTTAACGTAAATGATATTGTGAAATTACAGGCACATGGGACTCGTCAACTTATTTCAGGGTGACAGGCGTAGTGGCAGTGCCCCTCAGATCTTTGCGATATAAAGCTCTGAGTGGCACCGCAACTGTTATGGACATGCGTGTAGCTTACCATCAGACGCACGACTTGTTCGTCCCGCCACTTGATATTATAAAAAAAGATCACCGTACACAGGTGATAAGATGATGCATTTATAAAAGTGAGGTTTTGTGACCGAAATTCATGTGTACCTTGTCCCCCTTAAGCCCGTTACTTAATGATAAGGATTAAAAGCTTTCGGCCTGCTCTTTTGTCCAGTGGCGCAGCTAAGGCCATCAGCGTCAAACCGCTAAACGTATAAAAGAGAGGAAGGCGAACGATACAAGTTTACATCAAGTGGACTGTCTAGACTGTTTGCCAACTTCAAACCTGCAATCGTAACAATTGAAATTATCCCGTAGTGGTATAGTTGCTTTTTACAAGAATCACCGTAGAAACAATATGCTCTTTCTGATTTACAATACAGAACAACTAAAAGGCATTTCATCAAGGCAAAAATAAATATGTACCCCATTCGACAGATTAAAAAACATCCTTGTTAAACTAATACGAATAGAATTGGGTGACAATATTTTAGGATAATTAGAATAGTAAAATTTGTTAAGATTAAGAAAGGCGTTTTTTCTTGGTTCTTTTATTAAATAATAATAAAATTAGTAACAGTAGAGCTCCTTGTGAAAGAGTTCGTCCAGGCAAGTACTGCCACCTTACCTATTTCTGCCGCCAAGCAGTAACATTAGTATTAATGTTTTCCGGTTTTGAAGGGTAAGGGTGCTGGTGAAATTACAGGCACATGGGTTGTCAACTTACTCAGGGTGACGGGCGCAGTGGCAGTGCCCCTCAGATCTTTGCGATTTAAAGCTCTGAGTGGCACTGCAACTGTTATGGCCAGCGTGCAGCTTATTATCAGGCGCACGACATGTTCGTCCCGTCACTTGATATTGTAAAAAAATTAAAAAAATTAAACGAAGAAATAATACGTCAATGTCAAGGAACTAATCAATCGTGTACGATAAATCAGGTACTTCCCATGATGCTATCGAATGGCTAGGTGATTAGACTTAACTTTTCTTTTCTTATCAGTAACATTTTATTTTTTTTAAACTACTAGAAACACGCCAGACTTGTGATTATTTGGTTTTAGTTTCGTATTTTATAGGAGAAAATAAAATTACTTGTAACAGAAGTCTCGTCCACAATAGTTGCAGGTATGCTTGATGTTCATATGCGCGGCCTCGCGGTGTTCGCGCAGCGCCGACGTCGTGCGGAACGCTTTTTCGCATAGAAAACACTGTCAACAAAAATAAACATGTATCTATGTTGCCATATTAATCGAAGAGCCCAATAGAAAAGTAAATCAAGATTTTGTACTTTGGACCGTGTTACAGTAATTAAATACAAATAAATTTGAATTATTACTGCAAAGGGATACATGTGAATATGAGAAATACGCAAAGGATACCGGGCTAAAGGTTTGGATCATAGTGTCAAAAAATGGCCTCGGAAGCAATTGGTGAGCATTGATGCTATCCTGGGGGTGTAACATATACTACACCACATATAATTATTTTCCTTGTTATTTTTTGTGTTAAGTCAATATAAAAAATACGTATTTTTTGTGGTGGTGAACGTTGAAATTTTTTTATCTTGCTTAGTGGGCGGTGAGCCAAAAGATAGAGAACCTATGGTTTGGATCCTCAACTTGTGAACATGGATGTGACCTAGTGCTACTATTTCATGATCTGAACTTTTACATCATTGCGCCAAGGGCGGTTAATCCTAGCTCACCACCAAAATCATTACACATCGTCTCTTGTTTGGAAGTCGGCGCCCGGCATCAAATGGCACGAAGTTCATCCCGTGAGATATTTACTTACATTTATCTTTTTTTGTATTATATAGATGAAGGCGATGAGAACGATGATTAATGAAAATTGTAATTATCTAGTACTTTGCCTATGATTTACTCCGAATCTTACCTTGAACTGTTTCTCCTGGTGTGTCAACTTATGCTTGTTCAAATTAGAAGGATTTACAAACGTAGCAGGACACTCCGGACACTTGTAAGGCTTCTCTCCAGTATGAGTTCTCATATGCATCACCAAGTAGTATTTATGCTTGCATTTATATGGACACAGGTCGCAGAAGAAGTTGAATATGTTCGTGTGGATCAGCCTAAGATAATGCAACAATTTTATTGTTAGGAATAGACCTATTTTTTAGGATCCAAATCGCATTTTCTTTTTTCAAGACGTCGACGTTTCGAGCTCTTTACACGTACCGTGGTCACAGCTGACTGAGACGGCAAACCAGCAAACCACCCCATTTTTCACTTTTTCACTATTGTTACAAAAGTTATTAATTAAAAACCTCATCTTTAAATTTTTCAAACAAATATTCCAATTTACGCTACATGGGTTTACAAAATTATTTTATATCAACAATATATTTTTTAATAAATTTAATTTTATTATTAAGTAATAATGACTTTTATTTTTTATAATATCAAGTGACGGGACGAGCAAGTCGTGCGTCTGATGGTAAGCTACACGCCTGTCCATAACAGTTGCAGTGCCACTCAGAGCTGTAAATCGCAAAGATCTGAAGGGGACTGCCACTGCGCCCGTCACCCTGAGACATAAGTTGACAAGTCCCATGTGCCTGTAATTTCACCAGCATGGTAATTATTTTACATACATACATTAGATTGGTACTCAGAGTCGTATTCTAGAACTCTACTTAATGCTCAAGTCAGGATTTGAGTATGGTTTAAAGCACTCGAAATCATACTCAAGTCCCTGCCATTAGGGTCGTATTTCCAGTGCTTGTGTTGCCAGGGCAATCCTGACTTGAGCATTGAATAGAGTTCTAGAATACTAGATACGAATACTCAGAATCAATTAAAACATTAACTGCAGTCTTATATCTGCTTGGGATTTTTCATCAAGGGAAATACTGACTTCGAAATTGGTGGTACGGAGAAACCATCTGCCCTGTTGAAATTAGGATGTTTTTTTAATTTCAATTTTTAATTTCGCAGCATCCTGGATGGATAACGGACTTCTTTTGTAAGGACCCGAACTTAATTGAGTGTGTAGGTTTATCCATGACATACATGAATTTTGTTGTTATCATTAGAAGGAATACGCACATTATTCCATGAAGTCCGATGTCGGAAGTGTATGTACATAATACATAAACTGATATGTTAAAGAACGTAAATAATACAGAGATCGAACACAAAGATAAATTCCTTCGATCTGGCTAAATATGAACCAGCGACCTCGCCTTACCTGGCTGACGCTCTATTGGGAGCTACGGAACCTCTCTATGTGCTTGTTGTTGATCTTTGTTCTTGGTTTTTAACGACTTTTTGTCGTAGCGTCATCTGTGAGAAATCTAAGAAAGTTTTTCTTCACTCAGCCAGACCCTTACAAAAAAAAATATTTTTTAGCAGAAGTAACAAATACGTATGTGACTCCTTAACGTACATGTGATTCCTAAGGCGTGCGACGACTGTGAACTCCTTGCCGCAGGTGGGACACTTATGAAGTACGGATTGCTTGTGTATGTGCCGCATGTGTTGCGTGATACTAAGTACCAACTGCCCGCATAACTCGCATGCGCGACGCATACATTGCCGCTCACGGCGATGCGCTAGTAACTTTTCCTGCAGCAAATTTAAATATAAGAACTATCTATAACATATCTCAAAATACTGTAACAAAAGAAAGACTGGGCAATACTGACAACACACGAACAGGGTACCTAATGAAGAAATCGGTAAATCAATGAAATTATCTAGATAGTGGAGAGGAACACTGGTTGGGTGTCGTCAACTAATAAAACTTAAAAATTAATATATATTACTGTAATTATTAAATAAATAATTACGGTAATAATAATGTAAAATGTACTGAAAATAAAATTGTATTGTAGGCCTATTGTATATACTGGAACAGACCCATATCCAAGAACAGTCAGATCCAAATTGCAACACTTGCAACAAAAGTCTCAATGAAGATCATATTCAATATAATATTATATCATATTAAATAGGTACCTATCAACAAAAAACTGTTCTGACACAAATGCTAATTGTATCATCATTTTAGCTTTATTACAACATTCCCAAATAAATCAGATTTCGGTTGGAAATTGCAGTACCTTTTAACATGTCAAAATAAAATAAGAAAAACTCACATTTTTTATATAATTACAATTCTGACAGACATTAAACAACTAAATTTAAAACTACATTACCATATTTATTAGGTACCTCCATAATATTTTAAAAATCATGGTACTTAAAAATAGTGTCACATTTCAATATTTTGAGTACACTCCGAAAATTGTAAACCATCATATTCAAACAATACTATTTGTTATAGTAATAATACCTTACCTTGGAAGGAAAATTCATATCGCATGGGGAACACGTGAACTGCTTAGACTTGGGGGTTTTCTTTAAAAGCATTTTTTCTCTTCTTTGACGTTCTTTCTCTTTTTCTTCTTCGATCCTCATCCTCTTCAGCTTCATATGGTGGAGAATTAGTTGGAAGTCATGTTTGGAATATGGGTAGGAATGGTATGATGGGTCCCCTAAAACAATGTTCTATTATTCCAAAATCAAATCACGTAATTTTGCTATACAGGCTATAATGTATAGGTAATCTGGTTAGATATTTTGAAAATTTTAATTTAATAAGTGATATTCTCTTCCTATTAATAAAATAAATAAAATCAAATTAACCTCTATTCTCTGATTCTTCTTAATTAATCCTAAATTTAACCTAATGCTTACTTCTAACAGTAATAATTCTTAGTTCTAAAATCAGCATCGGTTCTGGCTCTAATCAGGTTGTCCTCTGACATAGGTTTCCTCCATATTTCTCCATAAGCAACGGTCTTGTGCCGACCGGCGCCATTCTCGGGGTAGATCGTCTTCCCACCTTCTTGTTACCTTCCTTTAACCTCCTAAGACCCAGTAAAACACCTATTGTACGTTAAATGTACTAAATATAACTACATACTTCAGACACTAGCAAGTTTTCCCTCATTTTTTTATGTAAAACGTATTTTTTAGATACCTAATCGGCATATAATATCTACATATAGTTTCAAAATTGAATTTGAATTGATTGCAGTATTTTCGTGATCATAGGAATAATACTGTTTTGGATCTGAATCACTCATTCTCATATTATGTACATTTTGATGTACACGGGGCCTTAGGAGGCTATACCTCTTTCCATCTCTTGGATACCAATGTGTTACATCTTTTGACCACTTTTCTTTTGGTGATCTTAATTTAAGATGTACACATGGGTGTGCACACCAGCGCGACTTCAGTCTTTTGATTTTCGTTGTAACATCTGTCGCCTTGGTTAGTCTTCCTAATTCTGGAGTCTAAATTTGCCTTTCAGCTTGATGTGTAGCATGCTTCTCTCCATCCCTTGTTGGCACCTTTAGTCTTTGGCTGTAAAAGTTAGTCAAGCTCCATGTTTGGCACCCACATGTGAGCACTAGTAGGATGCATGTGTTAAAGACTTTGGACTTGTCTGACATGGGATTACTTCATTCTTAAGTATTTCTTTGAGCGACCAATAGCGTGCCCAACCGTTCCTGGCTCTTCTTTGAATTTCCTTCTCCATTTGTAAAGTCGGGGATATTATTTGTCCTAGATAGACATATTCACCCACATAATCAATTTCTTGGTTGTTTACTATTAAGGGTTATTTACGTCGACTTATAATAGCTTTAGTTTTAGACAAATTCATTGTTAGCCCTGCTTTCTGACTTTCTACTGCTAGCTGTTCGAGCATTTCCTGCAAAGTAAAACGCAAACAACACAATATCTTCAACGTATCTCAAGTATGACAAGTGACTTCCGTTTATGTTGAGTCCTAGTTTGTCCCAATTCAACTGTCTGAAAATTTCCTCTAGGACAGCAGAGAAGATTTTCGGTGATAGTGGGTGTCCTTGTGTTACACCTTTTTGAATATTAAATTCGTCCCCGATTCTTTCTAACTGGACTCTTAGTGTACATTTGTTATATATTTTGGTCAGTATTCTGATATATTATCGTTCAATACCTTGATTTTGGAGAGCTTTATACAGGGTGTAACAGCAAGGTGTGGTCATATTTGAAGGTCGGATTCAGTTAATGGTATGAAACTAGTTAGCAAAGTTGTTTTAATACACACTACGTTATTTATGGAAATTTCGCCATGAACAGTTTCGATCAGCTGATGTCATTTAACGAAAATAAATAGTCGCATCACATCTCTATTGAGTATCATAATACAACCAAATTACGTAACTTGAAAAAATTGTGAAATTCAGGCATGTTATTGTAAATGATAAAGTACTAAATCCATATTCTTATTGCTATGTTATAATTTACTAAATTTATTATTGTTTTATTCATGTAATATGCGTGTGAACATTTAATGAAAAATAAATATTATCGATTACTTTGCCAAAATACACTACTTCATAATAAAACTATTATTTAAAACTTAGTACATAATAACGTAATATGGTTTCGTTAACTTCATATCTTCAATCATACAAAATACACAAATTTCCATTTAATATCCATTAATAAAACTAATGTCCTCTAAAAAACACATATTTAAAGTTATCTCTGTTTCTTTTTACCATATCATATTATGTAATAATACGCATTCATCTATTGTATTTTAATGAATGAAATTTGTCTCTTTCTATCCGTCGGTACTGTTCTAACGCATGGCGGCTAGCGAATCAGTCGGTATGTTTCTTCTAACGCATGACGCAATATGACGCAATCGTACGACTAATACTTCGCACCCTTACAATGAAAGCGACCCAAATCAAAAAATTAAAAAATGAGTTTATACCGTAAAACCATCTTAAAAAAATATTTTGTTACATTAGTCACACTGCGGTGAAGATGAAATTGTACAATTAAAGCTCGAATAGCACTGATTCATAAAGGTCCCTTTCATTTTGTTCTTTCAGTTTAAAAATTCTACTCCCGCGTCGAAATATTAATGCCGCATTTATTGTTGAATCTGCATTTGCAAAGACAACACGCTGCCACTGACGGATTAGCATTTGAGCCATTTTCGTTCCGAAAATCATATTCAAAAATCACTAGTAGCAGTAGAGCTCCTTGTGAGTTCGTCCAGGGTAGTACTGCCACTTTGTCGTGTTACAGTTTTGAAGGGTAAGGGTGCTGGTGAAATTACAGGCACATGGGACTTGTCAACTATGTCTAAGAGAGATGGACGCCGTAGCAGTAGCCTTCGAGCGGCAGTGCTACTGTTATGGACAGGCGTGACGCTTTCCACTGGGTACACGACATGTTCGACCCGTCGCTTAATATTTAAAAAAAAAAAATTTTTTTAGTAACTTACTTTTTAAAGGGACTTACTTTTTTGTTTCGTGGACTTTCTTCTTTTTTAATTGTGAAACAGGGACCACAAAACAATATCAAGGGTTATGACATCTTGCTTAGCTGATGAACATTAAAAAGACTTAATTCTTAATACGTTAAATGATAACAAAAAAATCGTTAAAAAAAAGACCTATTGGCGACTAGTTTTTGTAAATTATGTTTTTAAATTGTTGAACATTAAAATGATCAGAAACAATTTTCAGTTGTAAAGTTCCATTTTTCCTCATTATTTTCAAAGACAAATAAGGCCATCACCTTTAGTACTTCAAGAGTATTAAATAAAATAATATGAAAATGTCACAACTTGAAATCTTATTTTCTTTTTTATTCCCAAAAAGTTGAAATTTTGTATTGGGACACTTTCATCGTAAAGGTGCAACCTGAAGGTCGGCAAACGTCAAGAAATTAGTTTTGATCGTTGACCACGAATTAATTATTGTAATTTTCATCACTTGCTTGGAAATGAAAATATCGTGAGAAAACTTGGATTTCGGTGATAATTGCCGAAATCTTCAAAGATGCGAGAATGTCAAGTCTCCAACCAGAACTTACTATGCAAGTGTAGTGGACTAAACCTTGTGCAAAAAATAGTACTTTACTAACTTACATACGTCTATTGCTGAGCACACGTTTCTAACAACAGCCTTACGCTTAATTTGACTTATCTACACACGACAACTTTCTGTGTATGGGTTTGTTACATGGTGAAATTGAAATAATTAATATCCGTTGAACCTATTAAGGTTCTTACTTCCTAATAATGTCTACTCATCTAAAGAAATATTTTAGAATAGTTTAAATTAGCAATAGTGTAAAACCATAAAAAATCTTACCTAAATAAACAAAGTATCAAGATTAGTCGCCTTGCGTACGCGATACGTAATAGTAGCGAAGTCGCAAGCCTTTGGCGGCAACTTTAGCGGCAAAAATATCACCTTTGATTTTCGCCGCCAGCATTTGATTTTATACATCGTGATGTGGAGTAGTGGTTAATGTTAGACTGTGGTGGTAGTGGATTTGATTCCCATAGTCGACTGCCCCTATGGTGTAGTGGTTAGAGTGTTAGGCTTTCGTTTCGACAGTTGTGGATTTGATTACCATAGTCGACTGCCTCCATGGTGTAGTGGTTAGTGTGTTAGGCTTTCGTTTCGGACGTCGTCGTGGGTTTCCGATGGGTGACTGCCTCCTTAGTGCAGTATATCCGTAATCACCCAGTCAGTTCTTGCGTTGTGTGGAAGTGGTACGGGTGATGGTCAGAGCTTGTTTACAAACAAAGGCGTATGCAGTGCAACGTTGAAGGTCGTAGATACGTAGGATATAGGTATTCGTTTAATGTGTATGTAATGATGTAATTTGTATCATGAGAAGGGTCTTATTTTAAAAGGATGGTAATAATTTTAATTTCATCCTGTAGGTACATTATGAAAACGTTACCCTATATTCCAAAATTTGCGTTTCAGTCGGCGTCCTTTGATGTGCCGCCGCTGAGGCAGAGACGCTATTTTTTAATTTTTTGTAACAGTCTGTAATTGCCGTTTGCGTTGTGAGGACTAAATAGGTGTCACCGTTTTGTTTGTGTCTCGTTTTTGTGTTTATTTAAACTATGTCACGCTTAAGCAATAGTGATTACTATGAGATGATGATGATGTTGTGCGTAGGCGCAGCCGATGGGAGCTTGCGCCAGTCTCGCCAAATTTATTGGGCAAAGTTTATTGATGGCGTCCCAGAAAATCGACGTCGACCATTTCCTACTCTGGAATGCTTCAGGAAGATGGTTATGAGACTTCATAATAGTGGATCGTTCCGTGGTTCCAGTTCTGAAGGCCGGCCGAGTTCACGAGACCCAGAATTCGAGGCAGATGTTTTGGAACATTTTCTCGGCAATCCAAAGACAAGTACCTACTCGTCGTGCTGCGGCAGCCTTTGGTGGTGTGAACCATATGAGTGTGTGGCGTGTGCTACGGGATGATGGCCAGCACCCATACCATTTTCAAAGAACGCAGGAGCTGTTACAAGCGGACTATGATCTACGTTTGGCATTTTGCCGCTGGTACCGCGACCAGGTTGGGAGGTCTCCCGACTTCGCTTCGTCGGTACTGTGGACAGACGAGGCGTCATTTACGCGTGCGGGCATTATCAATATGCATAATGAACATTTTTGGACTCATTTAAATCCCCGCGTATTAAGGGAATCAAATTTTCAACACCAGTGGCCGATTAACGTGTGGGCTGGTATAATAGGTTGTGCCGTCATCGGTCCAGTGTTTTTGCCGGCAAGTCTGAATGGGGCCAATTATTTAAGATTCCTAACAGAAGACTTGGATGAAGTTCTGATGGCCCTGCCAGTGACACAATACGTGAGACTCGTGATGGAACACAGGATGACTTTCCAGCACGATGGAGCACCCGCACATTTTGCTCGAAATGTACGTTCCCATCTGAACGACCGTTTCCCGCAGTGGATTGGGCGGGGAGGTCCTGTACCCTGGCCAGCGCGGTCCCCAGACTTGACACCGCTCGATTTTTTTTATGGGGTCATATAAAAATATTGTTTATGCGGAGTCCTGTGAAAGCGCAGAAGAAATGAGGCAGCGGATCGAAATGGCGTTTAGTCAAATCACTCTGCAGATGCTTCAAAGAGTAGAGCAGTCTCTGTACCGACGCACGGAAATATGCATATTGCATGGAGGTCGGCATTTTGAACCTTACCTGTAAATGTGTGAAATGTGCCAGCAGTGCGTGCAGAGATTGTACTTATTATTCAAAATTGTCGTAAACAAGTCAATATTTCGTACATTGTACAACAGTGAATTACAATTCGTAGGAAATTCATTAAAACGTGTATGAATTGAACAATACGTAAGTACCAATTAAAAAAGTATCCACTATTGTAAAATTGTCGTAAATAAATGTATTAATACAAAATTATGTAGAATGTGTATACGATGAAGGCGTGCGTAACTACGGGCTTAATAAGTAAATAAATATCCTTTAAATTGTATGTAAATAAGTACGTACGCGTACATAGGTATGGCATAAAATAATATTGTTAGAAATAATTCGATTTTTCTAGATATTTAAAGATTTTGTTACTTAATATTAACGTATTATCAACATATTCAAATCATGTTTTTACAATGGCATTTCAATTGTAGTCAGCTGTTCTTCCCCCCCGCTTGCAGCCGCCCAGGTTTCATGAATGAATTTGTGAAGTCGTAGTAACGTAACTAGCAATAGAGTTGTGACGCAGTGGTTGTTTCGGACAATCACTATTTATACAAACATAATTAAACTTATATCAACATTAAAAGTCACTTATTTTTATTTGATATTTTGCACAGAGGGTCTAGATCAAGTATAGGTTTGGCTCCTTTAATATGACTACACCTTGCGGTTACACCCTGTATATATGAGAATGAGATACGGCGTCAAAAGCCTTGTTATAGTCCACAAAGGAAATATAGTATGGCTTCTTATATTCATTGTATTTTTCCTCTAGTTGTTTAACCACATGCATGTGATCTATAATTGAATAGTCTGCTCTGAACCCGGCCTGTTCTCCGGGTTGTTCCTCGTCTATTCTCTGTGTGACTCTATTTAAGATAATTTTGGAAAAGAGTTTGTAAATGTTGCTCATTAGGCTTATAGGTTTATAATTATCAATTTTGCCTCTATCTCCTTTTTTGTGTATTAGTACTATGGTAGATGTTTTCCATTGTTCTGGGATAATTTCAATGTACAGTATCTCACTAATAGGTTGGTTAGCAGTCGGAGTATAATATCTAATGTGCTTTTTAGTAGGTCATTTGTGATTTTGTCGGCTCCTGGTGCTTTTCCACTTTTCTGTGATAGGATAGCTCTTCTTGTTTCGCTCTCTAGTATTTCCAGGATCACCTCATTGTTTATGTCGTATTGGTTTTCCTCTTCGAGTATAGTTTCTTCTGATTTATAGAGGGTTCGATAGAAATGTATAGTTTGGCTGATGAGTGGTCTTTTGGATGTTCTATTTTCCTTGCATTTTTTGTTCACACCTGTTATACTTAGTATCTAATTAGAGGGGTCTCTAAGCTCCTTTGATGCTTTCTTTATTCCTCCAGTTTGTTCGATTTCATTTTTAATTTTGCTAGTTCTAGTTTCTTTTCTGTGATTTTTTTATGCTACTTGTTATGTTTTTGCTTATTCCTTCTATATCTCTAGTATTGATTTTTCGGTTTTTGAACATCTCTCTCCTTTTTTTCCATTAAAGTTCTCGCTCTCTGTCCTATATTGTCTTTTCTGTTTTTAACGTGAGTTAGGTCTCTGGAAAGGTTAGATACTGATAGATAGTGTTTACTTTTTCTGTATCTTCAATAGTGGTGAGATTTTCTTTAAGTTGCAAACTAATATTGTCAGGTATTGGGAGGGGTATGAGCGATGGGGACTTGTTAATATGTTTTCTTTACCTAGGTTTGTTATTAACTAAGTCTCTGTAGTGTAGGCTCTAACCATTCTGTGGTTTGTATCGAAATTCAGCTGGTTGACTACACATACGTCACTGAAGTGGGATGGCACGTTAGTGATAATGAAATCAATTTTATTTTTGTATTTTCCATCGGGCAATAGCCATGTCCACTTGTTGTACATTTTCTTAAATAACGTGTTCATAATCTTCAAGTTGTACGCCTGTGTGAAGTCTTCAAGTTTTTATCCATTTTTATTTATTTTCTCAGTACAGCAACCAATTGTTTTGGATTCTCCATCTTGTAGTCTACCTATTTGGCTGTTGAAATGTCCCATAAAAATCTTATTTTTGTGTTTCCTCTATAGTTTCTTGCAGAGATCTGTAATATATGTTTTTATCTTCGTCACTAGCCTGCTCTGTAGATGCGTACACTTGAATTATGGACCAGGGTTCTTTTTGGTTCTTTTTTTCAAATTCAAAATGGCAAGCCTTTCAGATTTACTAGTGAAAGAAAGAAAGAAAGAAAAAAAAGAAAGAAAGAAAAATAGTTTACTAAATAGTGAACTCTATTACGTTTTCTTTTAGATATTTCTTGACATTGAAACTTGATCTCGCCTTTATAATAGAAGATGTAGTCTTCGTATTCTCTTACTTCTTCTACCAGTCTACGAACTTCGCTAAGTCTTTCTTCTGTTCAGAGTGTTCTGGTATTTAGCGTTGCTAAGCGAAATTTATGATTTGTTGTTCTCTCTTTTGTTTTGATGCTTGGAGGGTGGTGGTCTGACGTCTCAAGGTGACCAACCTGATTGGGACCTTTGGTTTTTATATTACAATGTTTTAATGTTGAGTTTTTTTTCTGTCCTATGCTGATGTTAGATGATTGTTACTTAGGGTGCTTTGAGTTTTCGCTGGCTGCGAATGGTCTTGACCTGACAAAGCCGTCTATTTTATTTTTGTTGTATTGAAAATTTTGTTTGTTTCTCTTATTGATTTACTTGGAAAATTGGGCGAATCTGTGGGCATTCTTTTCCTCTTGTCTTTTTTTTATTTTATTATTAATTGATCACATGCAATATATGCTTCGTTGCCCTTGTCCAGTACTTCTTGTACTTTTACTTTTAACTCTTTTCTATTTTGTTGTATATCTTTAAGGTAATCTTCAGTTATAGTATATATATTTTCTGGAAGATACTATTTGTTTTTCAGCATCTCAGTTTCTTCTACTTGGTATTATTAGTCACTTATTCAGGGGCTGTGACCAGTAATGGATATACTGTGATAACCACGAATTCAGAGTCATGATCAATATAATTAAAGAACTGTAGGGTTTTATTACCTCTATTGGCTTAGGAGATGCATAAGAGTCTTATCCATGTTGAGTTATCAGATTATGTGATTATTACACATTAGAAATAAAACAATTTCTAAAAAATATCAATAGCATATTATTTGTTTCAAACAAATCAACATTTCGGGCCCTTTACAGGAGTTATGGTCATGGCTGCCATAACTTGTAAGTAGATCCAAAAAAATAGTTTCATTACCAGATTTGTCCATTCTTAGTAGAATCTACAGTCCTTACTCTCACTTAGCTTGACATTGGACATATGTGTATTCAAACTAGCATCCTGTGAGATACTGAGGGCCGTATTCCAGAACTCTACTCAATACTCAAGTCAGGACTTGAGTATAGCAGTGAGCACTGAAAATCATACTTAAGTCCTTGCCATTAGGGTCGTATTTCCAGTGCTTGAAATCATACTCAAGTCTGCTCAAATCCTGACTTGAGCATTGAGTAGAGTTTTGGAATACGACCCATAGTTAGGATTTGCAGATAGTTCTTGCGCAGCTCAGCTCGAGTCAGAGTTTCCAAGTTCCTACCAAATGTTAGCATTTCATTGTAACATATAACCTATTTGCATGCAATTTTATCTGCACAGAGACTATAACTACCACAACCCAACATTGCAGTATTACTGATTAAAGACCTACAGCTATAAACCTACAGCTAGCAATGAACTAATGATACAAGAGACTGAAAAGTATCTTTGTCTTTTTTGGCAGCAGTAATTTGTTAGCTGGTTTGTATATAATACAAATATGTAACAAAATCTATTATAAATAAAATAAAGCTTACCCATTGGGTTTAAAATCCGTTTAAATTTCCGGTCAGAAGTCTCACATGTTTTCTTAAATATTAATGCGACTCTTAAAGTTTCAAGGCATTCGTTACAAATGTACTTCGGAAGTGAATCTTCGGCACTTATCTGAAAGCAATTTTATAAAAAATAAATTAAAATTTTATATAGATGTTGCCTAAGTGTAAAAACATTTAAAAAAGCTATTAAATATGTTACACAAAATAAATAGGAGTTGGAATGCTTTTGCAGAAGTTTTAATACAGTCAATGACGTTGCATCTGCAACACATCTGACAACTGCTAGGTACAGCAGGCTAAAGGTAGTGGAACCCTTAGTACTCATATTTTACCTCTTATAAACAAAGTGTAAGACTCAATAGAGATTAAAATAAAAAACAATAGAAACTGGTATTAATGGAACTCACGGCAACATTAGTAATACTGCAAATGGCGCTCATTATATCATATCCCTCTATTTTTTCTGATAGAGGAGTGCAGGCCACCCGAGCACAGACTCTGCAAATTGCATCCTTTGCCAAATCTGCTGCACTTTTCCTGTAATTAATAGGAATAATTACAATGATCATTTACCACAATAACATAAATATAGAATTGAAAAGTGTAATCAGAGCAGTGTTAACATCTACACAATATTGATTTATATAATTTTATTGTAAAATCATACTTTAAAAAACCCAAACCTAGCCACAAAATAAATGGCTAGATATGTTTCTAGAGTTCCTATTATGTACGTATAGCGTAATGAAGAACTTATCTTAATTAGAAATTAATTTAGAAATAAATGTACCCTTCAGAGTAGAACCTCTGCCATTGGTCACCACCACTACTGCTACTCCCTTCTTCATCGTTGCTAAAGTTCGATGGATATTGAACTCGGTTCAAATTTGTTAACATAGATTTGGTTAGATAAACCGCCATCGCAAAATCCTATAGCACCTATCACAGTACGATACATATAACAAAGATATAGAAAGTAAGAAAAATTACAATAAACAATTTGATTGGCCTTTCCAACTACAGCCTCTTGTGTTTTTTTAAATATTATTTGCAATCAATGTTGCACAGATAAAAAAGTAATTGTTCATTCGTCATTCGCTCAATAAAATCGGTTTTTAGAATAATCGATTCTACACATCTCTACTAGCTAATACCATAAACAATATCAACTACCTAGAGAAACTCACAAACGAGTTCTGGGACATGACCCTGGGGGCCAATCGCGCTATTTTCGCAAGGTTTAACCGTACAACATTTGAGGTTATGGTTTTGGTTAATTAATGGTTCTACCGACGCACAAAATGCAATCGCGCTATCAGTTTTAATGAACCTAAACCTCAGTTAAACCTCAAACTATAACCTCGTATTAAATTTTAAGAGACGTGCCTTGACTTCCTAAAACCGACTAAATTTTACCGTAAAACGCACTGAAATGTCAATATCTACGAATTCAAGTCTATAAAAGAGCGATTTAAAAAAGTGTGTAAAAGAAATGTCATTAAATTCTATTGTAAACAAACATATGAGTTGTCATTTGAACCAAATTAATTGAATTTAGTGTGTTGTTGTTGTAGATAAAACACACAGAGGTAAGTACCTACACATTGTTTTCCTGTTTTAATATTCTATTTAATAAAATAGTATCTTTTTATACAATCAAATAGGTACGCTAACTACTATTAATTTCGAAATGTTAGCAATGTAGAATTAATAATGATGCTCGTATTTCAGCCAATGTGGATGCGGTCGGACGGCGAGCGACCACTGTAAGCCAGCTCCATCTTTGCTGGAGTTCGAATCGCACAGAGATTTAGCTTGAGAATGACTTCGCTCGGCGTTGTTCGCGCGTGTTATCAGCACGCCTTTGGTGCGAGTGTGTGGCTATTTTGTGGCCCCGCAATAGATCCCAAAAGGTGAGTCATAATGAGAGGTAATAGGATACAGTGAATGGATCACTCACCCTTATTGTACCAGAACTCATATCACTATAATATGCAATGTTATTATTTGTTATTCAGATATGGAATGGTATGAAAAGCAGGGTGAGAATCTACGCCACATCGACTGCGGCAGAGGACCTACCAACCTTCCTAAAGGACACCAACTCTAGCACTAAGTAACTAAATAACTTCAAACATACAATTCCATAACAAAGTAACTTTCTCACTCTTTATTATTAATTAAAAAACAAAGTAACTTTCAATTTGAGCAAATTCTTTCCCACTCTTTATTACATCACATCTATTATTTCGTTGGCAGCGAGCTGATGAGCGTTGGAGCAGAGCCGGGTAGAATTCTTATGCATTGAGAAGCTGCGAGCATGCGAAGCATTCTTGCAGCAAGTGAATGCTGGCAGGGTGCAGGCTGAGGCAGCTATTATTTCTGTCAAAACAGATGATCTGCATGCCCAATCCGTAGCTGCTATTTGCAAAGCAATTACCGAGTTGGTGCCTGCAGTTAACCTTTTTGATAGAATATTTAACAAGAATGACAGGTTTGTTTTCAACATGTTTTCTTAATTCCTGCTGATGATATGTTCAATTGTGGAAATCTGAAAGAGCGTAAGGAACGAAGGTCTAATCTGTAGACTTTTGTCCCCTTTATATTTCCACAGTGATATAAACATTTTTTTAAATGTATTTTGAAAAGGCCCCTAAACATTCTGGCGTTTATGTTGGCTTCATACTGTATGTATATAAATACCCATCCTGCTTTATCTGTCACTACTCTCATGAGAGGTATGGCACAGTCTTAAATTTAAGTCTCCAATCTTCCTATATACATATTTTTGTTTCAGACTTCTTTGAAGAATCAAAAGCAAGCTCGCTCTGGAAATGAAGGATGATTTGGGGTAGATTGAGGCAATAAATAAACTAAAAATACACTCTTTTTTTTATTTCAACCTCTTAAAAGTATACATCAATTTAGATATTAAGATAATAAACAATTACAATAGGTATACATCGTCATCTTAGAATGAATACCTCATATTTCTATGTAATTTTTTAGGATGAAGATAAAAATATGGTGTGAAGTATAGTAAATGCAATAATGTGTGTAGTTAGCATTTTAATTACTTAAATTATACCTCTTTTAGATACTATATTATTACATTATTAATTTTTATTCAACAAAAATCAGTAAAAACAAACTGAAAATGCATATGTGAGGCTTCACTGTAAGGGGACGATATGTTGTATAAAGTCAAGTGTTAAAAGAGATAAATTGTAACCTTGTAATATATTTTTATACAACTATACATATTTTACCTATATCTGTAATTTTAATTTGATAATAACAACAGGAAATAAGACAAGAACTAATAAATATGATGTACATTGTAAAGCTTATTTTCTCACCGCCTTTTAATATCATCTCTTTCGGCATGCCTTTTAGGAAAGCTGCATATTTATTCATAATAACTGGTTTATTTGAAGCAGCTACTGCTTGTGCCTCTCTGACACTGGCTTGGGAAAGGGTGATAAGCACTTGCCAATGGGGGTCTAGTACGCCCCAGTTGTTACAAACTATACGAGCTATTAAAATCTGTAACAAAATTAATAATGATTTACACAGTATAGAAATTTTGGTTATTATGCAAAACTGAGAACTTTCGGATTCCACTTAACCCTTACCTTTGTCTCCACATCCAATGCAACAGACCGTCCTTTGACGAGAATATGTAGGCATAGTTCTTCCACCAATCCTGAAATGAATTCCGTGGACAAACGGTATATCGTTTGCGGAATTTCTCCTCAGACATGTTAAATGTGATCGTCTTTCTATGCTTTTCTTTTATTTAAAGCCCGTTCTTAAGCCACATCCACCTGATAAACACTTTCCAAAACATTTAAGTAACCGTGGAACATCTTTTATATACGATAAACGTAGTGAAAAGTTACTCTCCATTAACTGCCACACAAACCTTAACCTTTCCAAGGTTACTCTATTCCCCCAAGGTTACATGTGAGGTTAAAACGTCAAAATATTTAGCGCGATACCAATTTGCAACATTTTAGGTTTTGGTTTTACGTTTGACAATTAGCGCGATACCAAATGTGCGTTACGTGTCACACGTCTAAGTTTTGGCTTAGGTTTTTGTTTTGACAGTTAGCGCGATACGAAATGTACACAACGTGTCAGATTGGCGAGGTTGGAGGTTTTGGTTAAACCTTTGACAATTAGCGCGATTGGCCCCCTGTTCAGAACTCTACTCAATGCTCAAGTCAGGATCTGAGTATGATTTCAAGCACTGGAAATACGACCGTAATGGCAGGAACTTGAGTATGATTTCGAGTGCTTTAAACCATTGAGTAGAGCACCCGACCCGTAGGGTCGTATTCTAGAACTCTACTCAATGCTCAAGTCAGGATTTGAGTATGGTTTAAAGCACTCGAAATCATACTCGACTTGAGTATGATTTCGAGTGCTTTCCAATAGGGTCGTGCCTGCCTGCATGCCTGCCATTAGGGTCGTATTTCCAGTGCTACTAAAAAAGTGGCCCGCGTCTCGGCGATATTTAGGCTATGTTTGGAATAAGAAATGGCGATTTTAGGCTACTTAATAAAATGTTTGGGGAATATGAACTCTCTTAATTCCCCAATGTCCGGCAACAAGCGGAATTGTAGAATTGTTTTTCTTGATTTTTAGAGATTTTATGGCTTGGGCGAATATCGACTACTTAGCATATAAAAGTCTGGCAACACTGGACACCAGTGGTTTGTGATCATCTTAATAGTCTGTGTTTCTACTTGTCTACAGTTATCTGTGTTTGTGATTGTGAGCGAGACGTAGTTCTCTAAGTAGTCTGTGAGCGAGACCGAAAGCGGCCAGAT